ATGCTTTATAACATTATCTATTCATTTATTGATTCCCCCTGTCTATTCATCACTCCCTATTATTTTCTGATACATTTCAAAGTAAATTGAGGAGATCAGTACAGATCCCTATAAATATTTCAGCATGCATATAACTAATATAACTAATAGTTTACAGTTTATTCTTATTTTTTTAGGTAAAATTTACATACAATGAAACACACACATCTTACTAAATCTCTGGGTATGTTTTGACACACCCAGCCCCTGTGTATCCCAAGTCCCTATCAGTATATAGAACATCAATATCGGGGCGCTTCTGTGGCTCAGTCAGTTAAGTGTTGTACTTCGGCTCAGGGCCTGATCTCAAGGTTCATGAGTTCGATCCCCATGTTGAGCTCTGTGCTGACAGTGCAGAGCCTGGAGCCTGCTTCAGATTCTGTCTCCCTCTCTTTTTGCCCTCTCCTGCTCTCTCTCTCTCTCTCTCAAAACTAAGAGAACTGGACAGCAACATGCAGAAGAATTAAACTAGACCACTTTCTTACACTATAAACAAAAATAAACTCAAAATGAATGAATGTGAGACAAGAAACCATCAAAACTCTAGAGCAGAAAGCAGGAAAAAACCTCCTTGACTTCAGCCACAGCAATTTCTTACTCGACACATCTCCAAAGGCAAGGGAATCAAAAGCAAAAAAGAGCTATTGGGACCTCATCAAGATAAAAAGCTTCTGCACTGCAAAGGAAACAATCAACAAAACTAATATGGGATGGGAATGGGAAACGGAATGGGAAAAGGAATGGGGAAAGATAATTGCAAATGACACATCAGGTAAAGGGCTAGTATCCAAAATCTATAAGGAACTCACCAAACTCCACACCTAAAAAACAAATAATCCAGTGAAGAAATGGGCAGAAGACATGAACAGACACTTCTCCAAAGAGGACATCCAGATGGCCAACAGACACATGAAATGATGTTCAGCATCCCTCATCATCAGGGAAATGCAGATCAAAATCACACTGAGATACCACCTCATGCCAGTCAGAGTGGCTAAAATGAACAAATCAGGAGACTATAGATGCTGGTGAGGATGTGGAGAAACAGGCACCCTCTGACACTATCGGTGGGAATGCAAACTGTTGCAGCCCCTCCGGAAAACAGTGTGGAGGTTCCTCAAAAAATTAACAATAGAACTCCCCTATGACCCAGCAGTAGCACTGCTAGGAATTTACCAAGGGATACAGGAGTGCTGATGCAAAGGAGCACATGTACCCCAATATTTATAGAAGCACTTTCCACAATAGCCAAATCATGGAAAGAGCCTAAATGTCCATCAACTGATGAATGGATCAAGACGATGTAATTTATATATACATTGGAATACTACATGGCAATGAGAAAGAATGAAATCTGGCCATTTGTAGCAATGTGGATGGAACTCGAGGGCGTTATGCTGAGTGAAATAAGTCAGGCAGAGAAAGACAGATACCATATGTTTTCACCCATATGTGGAACAGGAGAAACTTAATGGAGGACCATGGGGGAGGGAAAGGGGAAAAATAGTTGAGATGGAGGGAGGCAAACCATAAGAGACTCTTAAAATTTTTTAATGTTTCATTTATTTCTGAGAGAGAGAGAGGCAGCATGAGCAGGGGAGGGTCAGAGAGAGAGGGAGATACAGAATCTGAAACAGGCTCCAGGCTGTGAGCTGGCTGTCAGCGCAGAGTCCGACACGGGGCTCGAACCCACCAACTGTGAGATCACGACCTGAGCCGAAGTCAGTCGCTTAACTGACTGAGCCACCCAGGCGCCCCTAGACTCTTAAATACTGAGAACAAACTGAGGGTGGACGGTGGGGTGTGAAAGAGGGGACGGGAGGGTGATGGACATGGAGGAGGCCACTTGTTGGGATGAGCACTGGGTGTTATAAGGAAAACAACTTGACAGTAAACTGTATTAAAAATAAATAAATAAACATTAAAAAAAAGAACATCACCATCAACCCAGAAATTTCCCTTATGTATGTTGTTCTTAAACGCTGTGCAACTTCCCTAAATGAACCAGGGGCTTTGTTGGCAGCCAGAAGTCAACAATGATTCTAACAGGGAAACTGTTGAAATTGCTTTGCCTTCATTGACTGATACTCTGGGGGAGAACCAGGTGGCTTTTAACAAGATTTGGTCCTTGGGGCCTTTCACTTTGATAAATTTCACATGTAAGCATTTCTTCTCCTTTCAAGTAAACGTTTGTGAAAGATTGCCTGTTGATTACTGCAATTAACTTTATCAGTTTAAACTGAGGTGAAACAATGAATTTGTTTCATTTTATTGTTATTTAATGTGAGTAAATGCACAAATGCTAGTATTAATGGCTGCTCTTTTCAGCAGGGATTCTTTCATCTGTGTTTGTTTAAAAGTAAAAATAATGCTGCTAAACATAAAATGTTCCCAGCTAGGTCCTCAACGTGAGCTCCGGTCAGTTCATTGATACTCAGTTCAGGGCTAAGAGCTGAAATATACACACAATACTCAAAGAAGAGTGTGTGCCTGAGTAGGATTTAGATAACCCAAAGGGCCTTTTGCCTATTTGAAAAAGGCATATTGAAGCAGATAAACTGTGTTACCTCCTGTAAACCCAGGCTTCGAGTAATTTACTTTGTATTAAAATTCTGCCAATTCCATGGTTTGGGGACTGTGTGAAGTATTGTAGGTTGTATTGGCAGAGATAATGATGGGCCTACCAAACATATCTGTGGCTTAAGTCCTTTTGGTTAATGGTACTGTTGCTGGTTGGCAGTGAGCATTGCCACTAAGACTTCTTTTTTTTTTAATGTTTTATTTATTTTTGAGAGAGAGGTAGAGACAGCATGAGCAAGGGAGGGTCAGAGAGAGAGGGAGACAGAATCTGAAACAGGCACCAGGCTCTGAGGGCCTCGAACCCATGAACCGTGAGATCATGACCTGAGCCGAAGTTGGACGCTTAACCGACTGAGCCACCCAGGTGCCCCCCCTTTTTTTAATGTTTTATTTAAGACTTCTTATCTAGGGATTTTCACAGTTTAAAGTTTATCAGAATGGCCCCCCAATGGATTAAAACAGATTGCTGCCCTGCCCCCCAACCAGAGTTAGTAGACTTAGAGTCGGTCCTGGAAATTTGCATTTTTTAAAGTTTATTTATTTCTTTTGAGAGAGAGAGAGAAGGAGAGAATTTCAAGCAGGCTCTGCACTGTCAGCACAGACCCAGACATGGGGCTTGAACTCATGAACCATGAGATCATGATAGAGCCTAAACCAAGAGTCAGATAGTTACCAGGCTGAGCCACCTAGGTACCTCCTGGAAACTTGGCATTGCTAATAAGCTCCCTGGAGATGCTGTTGCTGGTTCAGGAACAACACTTTTGAGAACCACTGCTTGAATGAATGAATGAATGAATGAATGAATGAATGAATGAAATCCCTTGTGCAAGACCACATTTCTTCCCCACTATAACCCTGGCATTATTTATTATTGGCATTAATATAGTTGAGTGATAATGGGCACCCCCTGTGTAGCATGTGTCTGCTCCTGCTAAATTTTAGAGTTGGGGGATGCTAGGGAGAATATGTACACTACCTCTTTCTCCAACCTACACAGCAAGAATTTGTGCTTGGCTTACAATGATCCTGTTTTTTTCACAGTTCTAACTGATCTTGCCACAGACGAGGAAAGAACCCAGGCCCCAAACCACATGGCACAGTTTTAATTAACTCCCTCCTGTGTCAGGACCCTTAGAAAGAGATAATATGTAGCCATGGAGACCATACATCCCATATTTCCTAGGACAGCTCTGATTTCACATATTCTGTCCTCTTGTCCCCATAAATATAATTGTCAGACCATGTCCTGCTTTTGGGTTCAGAAAAGATTGTTCCCATATGCATGCATGGCCCCAGGGAGCCAAAAGCAAGTCTTTGCTTTCTTTATTGAGATTGTGGGGACCAGGGTAAAAGCGTGGCTCTTGGAAAGGGCTACAGAGCTGTGGTAAATCTAAACATTTGAGATAAGCAACAAGCTGCTTGTTCCTTTTTTTTTTTTTTTTTTTTTTAATGTGTCTCTCAGTGATCCCAGTTAAAGATCCTTGAATGTTACAAATGTGAGATTCGGTCCTGAAAAGGAGGTGATTTGGACCTCTGACTGCCTCTCTTTCTTCCTCTCCCTCCCTACCCCCACTCTCACCACACAGAAATAGCCCAGACAGAAGAGCCACTCCAAAGAAGGAAGTTCCACAGCCTTCATTGGCCGACTGCTCAGCCTAGTATTTACCTACCTTCTCTGGCAGGAAGTTCTTCCTTCTTGCTAACACCAGTTATTCTTGCTAACATCATTGCAATTTCAGTTTATTTTCCCTTACTGTGCTTTCAATTGAAATTAACAACAGCTGGTCCTCACCCTCTATGTTATTTATGTGCATCAAAAGTTCTAGTAAACCATCCTTCCTGGTACCAGGTTTAACCATCCTTGGAGCTCCTTTTTCCTTCCTTCATGTATCTGACTTGCCAACCATTTGATGATCTTTGCCATAGGGAAGCAACTTAGGCAGTTTGGGCCAACAGTGCAGCAAAGTCTAAAGCTTTATTACTTGTGCTAATGGACGTGCTAAATGCTTAGTGGAGACTATTTTTGAGCATGCAATTGTGAACAATTTAAAGTGGACTGTACATGGAACCCATTTCCTCTCCTGGCTCCCCCAACAGGGCCTCCCCTTAGCAGCTGAAATGAGTTAGTGGCAATCAGCGCAGAGTAGGAATCCTGTGGTTTCTGCCCTTCCCTCCTGCTGGTTCAATGGCAGCTAGTCTCTTTAAAATGAGCTTTCTCCTTAGTATGGCCGGTAAATGTGACTTTAGAATCAGATGGGCATGGAGTCTAGGAATCACGTTAGCCGAAAAGTAGGAGGTGCTAATAGCGCTGAAGCTCCATGTGAACTTTAGGAGGGGGACAGGGGTGAACAGGGATCCATGAGTGAAAAATTGGACCCAGCATGTTTGCCATCTACAGGATGTTTGCACCTCAGAGTTGTACATGCCAGATTTGCAACTTTGCAGAGGACTTGTCTGGCTTTCTTGGGGGACTTGGCCTTGGTCCACTGCACCAACGTGGTAAAAGTGATGCCTGCAATCTGTGGCAGAAGTACAGCCTCAGAGCCCATTAAGTTCCTAAAGAGAGGAGGTCACTTGCCCATGTGATGGGATTCTCTTTTGTCTGGTGGGTTACCTGCCTTTGGTGGGATGAGTTCCTGAACTGTTTGCATGCTGTGGGTGGACTGCTATCTTAGGTCATACTGTAGGCCAATCACAGTGAACTAGATCGAGCTGGTGGCCCTGCAGAAGAAAGGGATAGGGCCAACCCCTATTTGTCCTGTTCTCATCTTCTCACTGTTGGCTCCTCCTTTTTAATCAAACCTTAAAATCTCTTCTCTTCATAAAGGCTAGCCAGGCAGTTTGTCTTGGCAAAGCTACAGGAGCAATTTGTGGACCTGCGCATAAGGACGGAAGAAGAAGTGACCAAGAAGAAAAAAAAGTTGGCATTTGTATGAGGGTGTCATTGAAGGCTTCATCAACAGACAAACTCAAGACACAGACAGGAACAGAAATTGTCTTGGGTTGGGGGTGCGGAGAGCAGTTTGATTGAAGCATCAGCTGCCTTGGCACTGAGCCAAGGCAAATTGCCAGAGAACCATTAAACTCTGTGTAATTCCATAGAATTCACAGCAGCCACAGGTAATCAGAATCAGACCTGACAAAACTTCCCTATCATTTAGTGTCCATTAGTGCTAAATGCATATCTACAGTTACTTTTTTAGTCATATCATGGTGGCCATATTTTCCAAACCCCAAATCAGGAAACCTGCCTTGACAAAGAATTTTTCCCCTGACTTGTGAATTTGTTTATATGAAAAGCCTCACAAAGTCATAAACACTAAACTGTGCTTAAACACTGAACAAATGGCCTTTAAGGAAGGAACTATAGTCACATGAAATTGTGTTAGCGCAAACTCTCATTCAGGCATTGGTGAGCCCCCCACTGCCTGCTGCCATACACCTTTTTAGGAGTCTGAGGGAACTGGTTAACTAAGCACTAAATCAAATTAGAATCTGTTTTAAACTCATGGTCTGGATTTGCTCTTAAAATTTTCTGGGATGGTAGATTGAAAGGGCCTGTTGTAATGTCTGTACACAGGAAGGTGGAGTAGATGTTACTTTGAATTCCCAGATGCTGGGAGCAGTTAAGTCTCCCAGTATTCATGGCCTGTTTGTGAGGGCTTGTGTGTGTTTTAAATTAACTTCCTACGGCTGAGAATGTTAAAAACTAAGGAGAATCCTATATAGAGACAAGGTATTGTTACCATGTACCTATGTTTACTTAAAAGCTTCATTCCTCCTATCAAATTAAGAGTCTAACAGTCACCTCTGGGCACTCACCACAAACAGGGGATAGTTAGCTCAAAGGATAATTATTTTAGAATACTCTGAGCCAATAAGAATAATGCTTTTTTTTTTATTTAAATAATTTAAATTTATTTTTTTTTATTTTTTTTTACAAATAGTTTATTGTCAAATTAGTTTCCACATAACACTCAGTGCTCATCCCCACAAGTGTCCTCCTCCATGCCCATCCCTCCTCCCCCCCACATCCATCAGTCCTCAGTTTTTGTCAGCATTCAAGAGTCTCTCATGGTTTGCCTCTCTCCCTTTCCCCCACCATTTCCCCCCTTCTTCTCCCCCTTGGTCCTCTGTTAAGTTCCTCCTAATCCTCCTATACGTGCAAACATATGATATTTGTCCTTCTCTGCCTGACTTATTTCGCTCAGCATAACCCCCTCAAGGTCCATCCATGTTGCTACACATGGCCAGATTTCATTGTTTCTCATTGCCATGTAGTATTCCATGGTATAGATAAACCACATCTTCTTGATCCATTCATCTGTTGATGGACACTTAGGCTCTTTCCATGTTTTAGCTATTGTGGAGAGTGCTGCTATGAACATTGGGGTCCATGTGCTCCTATGCCTCAGCATTTCTGTATCCCTTGGGTAAATTCCTAGCAGTGCTATTGCTGGGTCATAGGGGAGTTCTAGTGTTAGTTTCCTGAGGAACCTCCACACTGTTTTCCAGAGGGGCTGTACCAGTTTACATTCCCACCAACAGTGTAGGAGGGTGCCCGTTTCTCCACATCCTCGCCAGCATCTAGAGTTCTCTGATTTGCTCATTTTAGCCACTCTGACTGGCGTGAGGTGGTATCTCAGTGTGGTTTTGATTTGTATTTCCCTGATGAGGAGGGATGCTGAGCATCATTTCATGTGTCTGTTGGCCATCTGGATGTCCTCTTTGGAGAAGTGTCTGTTCATGTCTTCTGCCCATTTCTTCACTGGGTTGTTTGTTTTTCGGGCGTGGAGTTTGGTGAGTTCCTTGTAGATTCTGGATATTAACCCTTTATCTGATATGTCATTTGCAACTATCTTTTCCCATTCCGTTGGTTGCCTATTAATTTTCTGGGTTGTTTCCTTGGCTGTGCAGAAGCTTTTAATCTTGATGAGGTCCCAACAGTTTATTTTTGCTCTCGATTCCCTTGCTTTTGGGGACGTGTCAAGTAAGAAGTTGCTGCGGTGGAGGTCAAGGAGGTTGTTTCCTGCTTTCTCCTCTAGGGTGTTGATAGTTTCCTGTCTCACGTTCAGGTCCTTTATCCATTTTGAGTTGATTTTTGTGCATGGTGTGAGAAAATGATCTAGTTTCATTCTTCTGCATGTTGCTGTCCAATTCTCCCAACACCATCTGTTAAAAAGGCTGTCTTTTTTCCATTGGATATTCTTTCCTGCTTTGTCAAAGATCAGTTGGCTCTATACTTTTGGGTCCACTTCTGAGTTCTCAATTCTGTTCCATTGGTCTATGTGTCTGTTTTTGTGCCAATACCATACTGTCTTGATGATGACAGCTTTGTAGTAGAGGCTAAAGTCTGGGATGGTGATACCTCCCGTTTTGGTTTTATTTTTCAGTATTACTTTGGCTATTCGGGGTCTTTTGTGGTTCCATACAAATTTTTGGATAGTTTGTTCTAGTTTAATAATAATGCTTTTTAAAAGGCTTGGTGACTTAAATTCCCTCTTTACCCAGAGCTCTTTGCATTGCTAGTTAAGGATCATGAGTAGCAATATACCCATGAAAAGCAAAATGTTTTGTTGCCTCTTCACGGAAGAAAATATCTTAAACCTCATAGATTCTCTATTGTGGGCAAGTCACAGAACATCCATGAACCTCAGTCATATGATCAGTGATGTGAAAATGTTACTTGTTCGGAAGCAGGCAAATGAGTAGGATGACATCCTGAAATTATTTGAATTCTACTTTCAACAAATACTTATTGAGCAACTACTACATAGTTCGATGCAGACATTTGTTTTTATAGGTGCCAGCGATAGAGCTATAAAAAGATGGTTTGTCTTTCCTACTGTAGTGTAAGTATCCTGCCAGAAAGTGAACATATCCAGAAATAAATGAGCTAATGTAAAATGATAAATTCTGTGAAGAAAATAAAACAAGATAATGTGAAGAAAATAAAACAAGATAATGTGAGGAACAATGATGGGGATCAGGGATGGGGAAAGAGAGAAGGTGTCTACTTTATATTGGTGGCCAGGGAAGACCTCTCTATGGAGGTAGCACTTGAGCTGACCCTTGCATGATGAAGTGAGCTATATAAGGACATAGAAAAAGAATGTTCTCAACAGAGAGAACAGCAAATGCAAAGGTCCTAGGTGAAGATGGCTTTGACCTCTCTGAGGAACAGAAAATTCAATATGACTGCAGTGTGTGTAGGAAACGAGGCCAAAAAGGCAGGCATGACCAGACCATGCAGCACTTCTAATCTTCTGCTATTTACATTGTAAGAATCATTCCTTGGTCTCCCTGTCTGATTCAATTAGTGAACATAAGTGCCAGATGTTAATGATAGGGGTGCTTAATGTTTGCCCATAAGAAACCCAGGAAGAGGTGCTGGTGGGGGGTGGGGGAGATGCTGAGACAGACAAAACAAGCTCAGATGCCTGGGGGAGAAATAAGTATGGATGGAGGAGAGTGTGTGCTCAGGAGAGGTGGTTAGGGAAAGCTGCAGGAAGTCAGAGGGAGGAGGGAAGGCTCCAGAGTGACCTTGGCTATGAGGAACATCCTCAGTGCCAAGGTTTGTGGAGTCTGCTGTCAGAAGGTGTCAACCATTACAGGAGAAGGTGCAGGGCTCTGTCTTTGTGTTTAAGATTAGAAAGTGGGGATGAGCAGGGACAGGAGCTAAAAATCTGCCGGCGGGGGGAGTTAGAGGGGGGTGGGCAAAATGGGTGAAGGCTAATGGGAGGTAGAGGCTTTCAGCTCTGGAATGAATAAGACATAGCATAGGGAATATGGCCAATGTTCTTGTAATAGTGTTGTGTGTGTGACAGATGGTAGCTACACTTGTGAGCACAGCATAACATAGATGTTGAATCATGATGTTGTACACCCAAGATCTAATGTAACCAATGTAACATTGTGTGTCAACTATACTCAAATAATAATTTAAAAATCTGCTTCTTTCTTTTCATCCAGCCTTAACCTGTAAAGCAAGCCTGCTACCAGGAGAAAGGCTTCTATACTGCTTTACGCTTATCAATTCCCTAGACCTTGAACTCAAATGCCCACCATGTTCTGCTTCCTTTGCTTCTCAGATGAATCCTAGCATTGCAAAGGGAAATGCACTCTGATGTAAGAGTCTTTCCCCACCACTAACATGCAGACAATTGACTGTATCTTCTCTCCCTTTTTCTTCAACTGTGAAAGCACAGTTTTGTTTCATGTTGTTTGATACATATTGCTGGGCAGGGTAAAAGATAGTATGTCACTTCTCAGTCACCATGTGAACAGGACAGTAGCCTGGAACAGGACAGTGTGATGGCTTATTTGTTCCCATATTTGTAGCACTATGTTAAAACAACAGTAAGTGGGCCAGTTTAATTTAAAATTGGATCTACCCTAGGGTCAGTTAAGCATATTATTGTTATTTCCTTTGTAACATACATGTATACCTTGGTAGGTTATTTCTGTGGGAACTGTTGGCTTTTATATCAGTTATGCAGAAGCATGGGAGGAAATTAAATGTCCCCTTTCCTCCTTCTTAATCTAACATTGTTCAGAGGGCTCAGTGAAGACCAAAGATTAAAACCACTGCTGGAGAAAGGGGGCTTGGGCAAAGGCAAACAATGTTCTGGGAGCAGAATGAAGGGGCCCATCTGTGAAAAATAGAAATCAAACTCCCTCTCCCTTTGTCCACATCTGGTAGAGGGCACATAGGTGCCCAGTAAGCTTGACAAGTGGTTTCCAGACAGTAGAGCAAGCTGAGTGGTTTCCAGAGGCAGCCTTTTTTCCCTTTTCTGAATGGTGTTAGTCCTTTGGTCTTTTTCCAGTCAGAAATGACTAATATTGGATATGTGCACTCTTTATAAACTGTCTTTGGCTTTTTGCATGATGGGTTGTAAATAAATGGCTTCAGGGAACCAGCAATGAGTTA